AAATAGGTCAAATGTATAATGTCAAGGCCTCTTTAAGTACAATGCAATTAAAGAAAGTAAACATTTTAATACTGCAATACTTTACCTAATGTGCAAAGATATCCTCCTCCCCATAAGAATATCCAAGTAGGACACTCAAAATCATTTTCTCCCCATTAATGTTCCAATGAATAAAGGGGGACTGTGTAAATAGGTCAATGACCACTTGAAAGAAACTAAATCCAACACTGTTTGAGACATTACAATACAAATGTCCTTTTAATCACTCAGGAGGGCATTAAACTTACTGAAAAGAGATCAAGAGAGATGCTTAACAGCTACAAAGTAAGATTTAAAGCAGTTCTGTCACTTATTTTATGTTTAAACAGGGATAGTCACTAAAGTCCAAATGGGCCTGTACCAATCAGGGCAAAACCATCTGGCTGCATATGGGGTCATTGAGACTGCAAAATACAGACACTGTTTACACTATTTAACAATGTTCATATTTTGCAAATCAGACTCAGAATTCATTACAAATTTTAGCCAGAACAAACACCGCTGGGTGTCTGAAATTCGGACCCAAATGCTTCAAATCTGGGCAGAGACCCTTCAAAGTCGGCAAACAGTTAGAGAGACAGAGAGACAAAATACTGAAAAATAGTATTTTATAAAGATAAAATCTTTCAGATCTGAAGTCCCAGAAGCAGAAGATGACCGGCCGGAAGAAGATGGCAGCGCCTGCGAGGGACATGTTAAGGTAAGTTAAACTCACCTTTGCCTGCCACCTCCAGCCTATAGAATCCTAGTGGTGATGTCACCATGAGGAGTTGTTGCAATTTCTGCAAAGTCCCCAGACAGTGACAGTGTCAGTTTAAAATCTTTTGGTGATCTGATGGTTAAAGGAACTGTATGGGCCACTTCAAAATTGAGTTGCTATGCTGCTTTCTTACCTGGAGGGGTTTTATGAAGCCCATGGAGCAACGAAGTAAGGGGAGTGGGCCTTGACAGAGCCAGGAGTGGGCAGGTGCATTCAGTTAGGGGTTGGCTTAAGCTAATGGAGCTTGGGGGCGGGATTAAAGGGGGTTAAAATAACGGCCATCTTAGAGAGTGGCCATTTTAATCAGAACTTCACTTACCTGTTAGTTGTGTCAGGTCTGTGGGGTTTTTCTTTTTTCTTTTGCTGCAGGTCCATGGCGTCCCTGGATGAGATTCTGGCCGGAGTGAGAGCAGCAGTGAAGGACCGAGGGCTGGCCTGGCTGCATGAACAACTGGGGGCTGCAGTTCCCCCTCCAGCACCAGCGGAGCGCAGGACGGCGCGAAGAGCACGGCCGCCCCAGCGCTTGAGTCCGGGCATGGCGCCCGCTCCACGGCGGCGGAGGAGCCCGTCGGCACCCAGCCAGGAGGCAAGAGGGTCGGACAACACTGGGAAGCGGCCGGCGCCGCCTGTGCGCCGCGGTGCCGGTCAGGCGAGGACGGCCGCAAAGCGCGGGCCTGCTGGAAAACGCGCCCCACCCAAGATGGCGGCAGGCAGCACAGGTACCCCAGAGGAGGGCTCCAGCACGGCGGGAATGGCGGCCGGGAGAGCGGAGGAACACGTGGTCGGCAGCACTTCAGTGAGGCGTTCCGGTGAGTCCAATCTGGTCACTGAGGGGCAGGGGGCGGGCGGGCGGGACGCGGGATGCTCCAGCGCAGGCGGCCCCCCAGCAACCCATGGGTGGCCTGGTCAGCGGGACCAGCTCGCGGGCGGCCTTAGGTGTGGCCGGGACGGGCGACAGTGCCAGGCATAGGGAGGAGGGGCGGCAGGAAGACGGCAGGATCGGACAGGGAGCGGCAGAGGTTCCAGCGGGCTGCCAGGGGGTGCAAGGGGCATCTGAGCCAGGCGCAGCGGCCAACAGATGGCCAGGTACAGCGGAGAAGGGGGACACACGCAGTACAGCGCGGGATAGGTAGGTCAGGAGCAGTAGCAGTGGAAGGTTGGGCCCCTCAGGCTGCTCTCACGGGGGGCACCGCAGCGGGACCAGGGAGCGGGAGGAGTACAGACGGGAGCGGCGCAGCGGTAGCGCCAGGCCCGGCAGCAGCAGGAGGTCAGCTGATCGGCAGTGGAGCAGGGACAGGAGTCCATCGCATAGCAGGCGCAGTGGCGGGGAGAAGGAGATCCGCTTCCAAGGACGGGCGGGGGCGGAGGCGGCGCAGCGCATCTGGGTCCTCGGGTGACAGTGCGCTAGGACAGCAGCGGGCCCCCAGGAGCAGGGAAGTTAGGCCGACAAGGCGGTGCGAAGCTTGGAACTGCGGAAAAGAGCGTAGGGAGGAAGGACGGGTAGGGGCCCAGCAGTACAGACTACCCAGGTTGTCTTCTCCTTACAGGTCGCAGAGCACTACCCCTACGGTCCTGAGGAGGGATCAGGCGGATGGGAGTCTGCGTCAACCGGATGCTCCGGAGCCTGAACGGGTGGACGGAAGGTCGGCAACCCCGGAGCCTGGCACGGCCGGGGTCTCCAACGGTGAGTCCATATCTGCACAACACTCCGGACAGTTATTGGGCTATTTAAAAACACTATTGGAGGCATGGTCAGGAAAGGGGGAATCACCATTACAGTTCGGAAAGGTATGGTCCCCTGACACGGCGGTTAAGGCAATAGGGGCGGGGGTCCAACCGGCGAGCGGAGGCGAGGTAAGCGAAGCGGTAGTGGCGTCCGGTGCGGCGGATGGGGGGGCTGAGTCGGCGGTCGGTTGTGGCGACATTTCGGACGCGGCACGTCAAAACGTACACGTATCTTTTGCGGGCCCCCTAGGTTGTCACCTGAAATTAGAGGTCAAAGAAAAGATTTGGAAGGGGGAGTTCAGGGAAATTTTTTCCTTGCTCCCTTTGGAGGAATTCCTAGACTTGAAGGAGGAGGATAAGAAGGACGCCAAGAAGGAGGAAGAAGAAAAAAGGTGGAGGTATCGCAAGATACCGAAGACTTTTGGGAATTGGCTGAGGGCGTTCTGCATCCTGGCTAGTGTGATAGGGGGAAAAAGGCCAGGGAACTGTTCGCAACTGTTCTGCTACTTGGATGGGATAGGCGATGCGTATCGGACGTATGGGGGCCTAGCGTGGTGGAAATATGATGAGCAGTTTCGGCAACGCTTGGCGGCCAACCCTACCATGTGGTGGGACCAAATGGACCTGCCGCTATGGATGAGGATTATGATGGCGCAGAAGGCTGCGCCCTTTCTCGGGGCAGCTGGGACAGCCTCAGGCGTGGCTGTGCCAGCGGGACAAAAGAAGGGCCTGTGCTAGACGTACAACGAGGGTCAATGCAAGTGGGGCACTTCATGCCGATTTAGGCACGAGTGTTCGGGCTACGGAGGGAATCACGGCGCCAGCAGATGCTTCAAGAAAGGTAAGCTCAATGCAGGGGGTGGAACCGCAGGGGTGGCGGCCACCTCGGCTGCAACTGGGGGCGTCCCCAGTGAGGTTAGGCGCGATGTTGCCTTGGCTAAGGCACTACGCTAACCAGGAGGATGCAGCGTTCCTGTGGCGGGGTTTTAGGGAGGGCTTCGTAATCCCCTTCACGGTTAAGGAACCAGGGGCGGTTTGTGCCAATCTTAAATCGGTGCGGGAACGCCCGGAGGTAGTGCGGGAAAAGCTGGCCAAAGAGGTCCTTTTGGGGAGGATGGCGGGGCAGTTCCCGTATCCTCCTCTAGCGGAGTTGCGGATATCCCCACTTGGAGTGGTCCCCAAAAAAGAGGCTGGCAAATTCAGGTTGATTCATCACTTATCGTATCCTAAAGGGTCATCGGTGAATGATGACATTGACGCAGCACTCTGTTCAGTATCTTACACATCATTCGACAGGGCAGTCGAGTTGGTACGGAGAACTGGGCGGGGAGCGCTGATGGCGAAGGTGGACGTGGAGGCAGCGTTTCGGCTGCTTCCCATACACCCGTCATGTCATCACCTCTTGGGGTGTTGTTTTGAAGGGGGCTTCTTTGTGGATCTGTGCTTGCCGATGGGTTGTTCCATCTCGTGCGCCTATTTCGAGAAGTTTAGCACTTTTCTGGAATGGGTAGTGCGACGGGAATCGGACGGGGGCACGGTTGTGCATTACCTGGACGACTTCTTATGTGTCGGCCCTCGAGGCTCAGACCGGTGCAAGCAGATACTACGGGTGTTCCAATGGGTAGCGCAGATGATGGGGGTTCCTTTGGCGGAGGACAAGACCGTGTCTCAGTTTTCTGGGTTTGGAGATCGATTCGGAGATCGGGGAATGTAGATTACCACAGGACAAGTTGCACAAGCTGAAAGACTTGGTGCACACAATTGGGAGAGCACGGAAGGTGACGCTGAGGGGATTACAGTCTCTGGTAGGGAGCCTGAACTTTGCATGCAGGGTCATACCCATGGGGAGGGTTTTCTGTAGACGATTGGCGCGGGCGACGAGCGGGATACGGATGCCGTCACACTATATCAGGGTTTCCGCGGACATGAAGGCGGACTTAGAGGTGTGGGATCGTTTTTTGAGGGACTTCAATGGCAAGACCTTTTTTCGGGAGCAAGTGGTGTCTTCGGAAGCAGTGGGGCTGTTTACGGACGCTTCGGGCAGCGTGGGGTTCGGGGCTTATTTTGCAGGACGGTGGTGTGCCGAGGCATGGCCCGAGGCATGGAGGGCGAGCCCATTGATCAAGAATCTGGCATTTTTGGAACACTTCCCTGTAGTGGTTGCGGTAGCATTGTGGGGAGCTGAATTAGCAAACAAACGAGTCGTGTTTTATTCGGACAATATGGCCGTGGTGCAGGCAATCAACAGTTTGTCGGCATCTTCGCTTCCGGTCTTATGCCTACTGCAGCATTTGGTGCTCCTCTGCATGTCTTCCAATTTAGTATTCAGGGCTAGGCACATTCCGGGATTCTCAAATGTGGTGGCTGATGCGCTTT